TTTTTTTTCTGTGATAAATTGATTTTGTAATAGTAATTTTTTTTTTTTTTGATGAATGTGTGATTAAAATGTATGAAATTTTTTTAATTTACATGTAAAATCATTTTATTGAGAGAATGTATGATTAAAAATGAATTTTTAGAAAACAAGATTAAGCACATGTTTGCTTCCTCTATTAAGCAGAATTTGGATCGTTGCTTCAATGAATTAGCAACAATAGTGCACCATGTTGTGTCAAAATGGGCTCCGCTTTTTTTAGAAAAAGGTCATAAATTTAACTCTCTTGTTGAAACAATGTGAAACAAACAGGGGCTAAGCCCATGTTTCCATTTAAAACAAAATAATTTATTTTTCATAATCATTTTCAACCGTACATTCAAACAATAAATTTCTTACACGCAAATTCAAATTTTATTTTTTTTCACTTTTATTTTTTAACCACACATTTTTCAAAAAATCAATATTCAAAAGAACATTTTTACACAATAATAGACATCAAGCATGGACTTAGAGTGTGTTTGATACACATTAAAATGGAAATAATGCATTTTTTGTGATGTGATAGTAAATATGTGGTTGAAAAAGAAGAAAAAGTTATGGATGTGATGAAAAGTATTATTTTATTGAAGAATGTGTGGTGAAAATGAGTAGAATAGTGATAATGAAAATGAAAATGTGGCTCAAATATGTGCTTAATGAGTTTTTTTTTTTAGGAAAATGTGTTTTGAAATAATATTTTTTTAAAAAAAATGTGATTCAAAAATAGGAAATTTTTTTGAGTTTTAAGTGAAAAATATTTTATTGTGTGAATGTGTTCTTCAAAATTTGTTTTAGAAAAAATGAATTTTGATTTAATGGATGTCAAAAAGTGGCTAAAATACGAGCTACATTTCATATATTTCACAAAGGACACATTTACAAGTATTACAAGCCCTTGTTTGATTCCTATTATTTCTAAAATACATTTTCGTACTCTTATTTTCAATCACACATTCTTTAATAAAATAATATTACACGCAATCCTAAAATTTTTCCTTATTTTTTAACCACACATTTTCCATCAAAATATTATTTTAAAATGTATTTTCATGAAAAAAAAATTGGGCTGAAACAAGCTGCAAGAGATACTTGACTCATTTTATTAGTACTTCATCCTCAATTTGTTAAATTTTTTATAATAAAGCTGTGTATTCAATTAGAGGTAATCATCAATCTATGCGACATATATAGTTCTTATTTGAGCCTCATTTTAGAGAAAATATATTTTGAATGTATGATCGATTATATATAAAATTATTTTATTGAAAAATGAGTGATTGAAAATAAATTTCAAAAAATAATTTTTTTGAAAAAATGGGGTTCAAATAAGGGCATAGCCTCTTTTTGGAGGGGATAAAGATCAGGTTTTTAGTAAATTTTGATAAAAATTGAGGAAATATGTAATTGAAAAATAGTTGGTCTCATAAAATATGTTATTAAAAATAATTAATAATTTTAACTTAAATTAAAATCTAGATGTTAATCCTTACAAAACAAGAGCATAATGTGATACAAAATGAGAAGGTGAATTAATTATATAGATATAATACCTACTTTTCAGGTCTTATAATTTAACGTTACATTATCATCCTAGTGAGGATAAATAACACTATTCTTAAATTTTATGTTTAAAATGTTATTGCACTGGGCTGTTACTCGACAATGCCCTTAAGTTCGCATAACCAGCAAGATTGTCCTCGAACTAATTTATTCAATTTATTATGTGCGTCGCATGAAATCTATTTATCTATCATATATTAAATATCACATCAAGTGATATTTTTTTTTTTTAAGATTTTAATCCTACTACAATTCAATTATTTCAATAATATTTGACTTTTCGTTTTTCAATATATAATAAATACTACAAATCATTGTCATGCATGAATTTCATGTTATTAATTCTCAGTTAATCAACATTCACATTAATCCAGATTCAATGAATTTTGACTTGATGAGTCTTGATCTACACGAATTTGTAGTTATTATAGATGAATTTATTTATAGTTTCTACAAATTTTAATGGGTATTTGAATTCATGTATTAGCAATTAATTTGTATGTACCAAATGCAGTATAAAATGATCATCTCAAAAAAAGTGAATCATAGAAGTTAAGTTTGAGAGTGCAATTTTCCTCTCTTTTATCCTAAATTTTATTTTCTTTAGTTTCTTTAAAACTTACAAAATCCTCTCAACAAATTGGTATCAAATATTACTTTTACAGCGCTTATAAAATATTTCAAAATAACGTACAATGCACATTCAACTTTGACTAATGTTTTAATATGTCAAAATAGAAGATACGAATTCTGGGTTATTATTACACTATGACCCAAATTCCTATTGGGATTAAGAATGGGTTGGTTAATTAATAGAAGGAACGGTAGACTTCTTGGTTTGGAAGTCTGGTTGAAAAAGGTATCAACATTTATCAAGTATGCAAAGTTTGATTGGTAAAATGACTTTATATAATTGAAGACTTGGTTTTTGGGTTTTGAACAACAAACTAGCACCCAAGCCTTGGTTCGGGGTGTCTAGGTGCCCATAACGAAAGAAACGATGGAATTTGGCCCAAGAAGCAGTGTCCCAATGCCATGGAACGTCATGATCACTGCTCACCTACCGCTCGACTACCACTTGAGCGATAGTGTTATCTTGCCAGAGTTCTTTTTTTTATTCTGAGTGTTTTTTGAATTGTATTTCATCAAAAAACGCTCATATTAAATTCCTATATATACTCCACGTGATTTAGCCTTGAGATAACATAGCAAAACATTGTATAACATTGAGAGAATATCAAAGTGAGATGATCTAGTTTATAGAGAGAGACTCGTATATTTTGAGATATGTTGAAAGTTTTGCGAGATCCTTTTGTACTTATTTATTATTGATTATAGTGAATTCTCTGCCTATACCAATGAGTCTCCTGAATTTGGGTTACCATGTTATATCTCATGTTCTTGTGTGATTCTTTTCATTGTCATTTTTCCTTAACTGTAAGATTCATAACAAGTGGTGTAAGTTCCATCCCAAGATTATTGTAAATTGACTTGTTTATAACAAAATGTTAAGAAATGAATCCATCATCGAATACAGATATTGACTAACAAACTAAGGACGCACTTCACACGTATCGAGTTGAGTGAAGAAATTGCCATCCATGTAAATGTTTTATATAAAATTATTTTTAACTTAGTTCAATTTAGCTCATATTTGGTGGGGATTAAAATTAATTTTTAATATATTTTGATAAAAGTTAGTAAAATATGTGGTTAAAAAATTGTGGATCCTGTAAAATGTGTAGCTAAAATTATTTGTCGACTTTAATTAAAATGAGTAATAATATTGATCCCCAATGGGGTTGCAAACACGGTCTATGTGATGTTAATGCGATATTAAATGATATGTGAAATTAAATAAGTCATTTAATTTCACATTTTATTTAACCTATTATTTAGAGTCACATAAACTGTGTTTATAACCCTACTGAGAATGAATAACATTACTCAATTAAAATTTGGATTTTAAGTTTCACCGAGGGGATTTAATTTACTACATTTATCTTATTACTTATTGCTGCTATAATTATTTTTTTTATTACGAAAATATGTGATTGAAAATGAATTTAAAAACTTTTATTTTTATATTTTAATGGTAGTCAAACATGAATTTCATAAGCTAGTAACTCTCGCAAATTCAAATTCAAAATCAAATTCCAACATGATGGGCTTGAACCCTAGATTATTATTTCTGTGAGCATACATCCACATAACCAAAGCGTGAAAACACGCTCCTTTTAATCGATTGAATCATGAGTTAATTTCACAAACGGTACTGAAGTTCAAGAAAAACTTAAGATTGATCACTTAATTTCATAAACGGTACTAAAGTTCAAGAAAAACTTAAAATTGATCATCAAATTATTTTTCTCGACATGTTTAATCTCTAACATTTACATATTTGGTCGTCGGGTTATCACCATATCCATCACGGATAGTTGTTAAACCCTTATGCCGACCAAATGCCATCAAACTTTGCCCGTCTCGATGATTTTTGAGCGTGACAATATTTTAATTTAGTAACCAAATGAGTCGCATAAATAATTCAAGGACCAATTTCGAGTGTTACTTGAATTTGAGTGACCATTTTTGAAATTAACTCGACAAATTATACGCCCTTGTAACATCAAATATATCATCGTCGGATGCCGGGAAAAGACATAATTGCCTCATTTCTCCGCCGCCCTCCTCGCCGCTCCTCCGTCTTTCTTCGGCCCTGTCTTCCCCTTCCTTTCAGATCGCCGTCGGCTTCATAATTTGGCAAGAATCCATGGGAAATTCGTGAACAAGTCAGCCAAATCGATGTTAACCCCCCAAATTTCACAGTTTTTATAAATCCAGAAACGCCGGAAATATGTTTCCTGGCTGAAGAATTTTCTCGTTGATAATGATAATTTGAATTGTGAATTATAATTAATGATGAGGTCATCATCGATTTGGCCGGAGAATTACACCGCCGCTCCCCCATCGACGTCCAATTCCCAGTCGATCCTTCCTCCTGCGGGACCCACTCCCCACACGAATTATAAGCAAAGGTTAATGTTTTAACTCTAATTTTACCGAAATCTCGCTGCTTTCTGAGTGCAAAGATCTGGAATCTGATTACTTTTGAATGATTTCATCTTTTTCTTAGCTGAATTTTGGATCTTTTGTTTAGCTCGAGCGCAATTGAAGTTCAGTTCAACATATGATCCATGGCTTCAAATTGCTCGCTTAATGGTGCTTCAGTACTCGTTCCACATGTTACTTTTCTTGATCTTAGAGTCGTTAAAAAAAACCATGAAAAATGAGCGATAGGATATGTTGTTTAAACGGATAATTGATAAATAACCTTCACATGTGGCTTAAAACTAATGATTTTAATTCCAATGTTAAATTCAACGGTGGCTTGTGTTACACTGTAGGATGTTTACTGTATTTGGTTTCTAAGGACATGGTGATGCTGACTTTGTGTGATCACATAATTGTGAAAATTCAAATTAATTTGGTTTTAATAGCTGTATATGCGGATGGCCTTGATGTTCGCAAGTTTCAAATTTCAGTCTACTGGCTGTCGAAATTTTAGCTGAATGGCGTCAATGTTAAGTTTTCTAGCTTAGAGTTTCTCATAGTACTTGGCTGGATTTAGAGACAGCACCATTTCACATATACTTTTCTTTAATCGATAAGTAATTATGAATTAGGCATGTGTAGTCTGACTGTGTTTTCCGTTTAGTAGATGTGGTCTTTTGGGGATTTTCAGCTATTTCTGTTGTTGTATAATGTTTCTTGATAGAAAAATTTTACAATCTTATACATTTGTAGCCTTTCCATGATCTGATAAGGTAATGGTGGTGTGGCTATTTTCAAATTTTGAAGGATGTTTCTGACTTGCATTGCCCTTTCTCTTCTTTTGCTAAAGTGTAAGAAAATCTGAACAAATAACCAAATGGTAGAGTGCCATAACTTGATCTACATTGCATTGATTAGGCTAATCTGCAGGTTGGACTTCAGTTCTGGGATGTGCAGACAAATATAGACACTTATGCATGAACACGATTGCTGATTTCTTTACTTGTTTTATGCACCAATATATTAATAATCTGTATTTTCCGTTGCAGTGCAACATAGTTTAGACAATTTGCATATTTTTTGGCATGAAATAGTTGCTGACTGAATATAATATGCTATGTGCCACTTGTAGTAATGTATTTCAACTGTTAGCTCGGAGGGAGGTATCTCCACGTACAAAGCGATCTCCCAGAAGGTTCCGGGGGGACACTTCAAGATGTCATCTTGAATCCTCTGGATTAAAACGTGAAGCAGCTAAAGATGCAAGACAAGAACTCCTTTCATGGTATCTGTCATGTCTTCTGCACTATTTTGTAATATCTAAATGTTTCATATCCTTGCTACATATACAAGTGATTTCTTGAAATCTTTTATTCTAAATACTCTAGGGTAGAGGCGCAATCATTGCTACATTTATCGGCCAAGTATTGTCCTCTGTTACCTCCGCCCAGGTCAACCATCGCAGCAGCTTTTAGTCCTGACGGGAAAACACTTGCTTCTACTCAGTAATTATCCTACCTCCCTCTCCCTTTCTCTTTCTTTTTCCGGTGCATACACACGCTCTAACTTTTTATTTTAAAATCATACTGAGGCCCTGTTTGAGCACCATTTTTTTTGGGGAAAATAGGTTTTGGAATAGTGATTTTTTGGATAATGTGAGATTAAAAAAATAAGGAAAAGTTTTGGGTTTTCGCATAAAATTATTTCATGGGAGAATATGTGATTGAAAATGAGTTTTGGGAAAAATGGAGCTCAAACATAGGCTGAGTTTGTTCCAGTTAGATTTTTCGAAAAATTTATTACATTCTTATTTTTACAGTGGAGACCATACTGTAAAAATAATCAATTGTCAAACTGGGAAATGCTTAAAGGTGTTGAATGGTCATCGGAGGACACCTTGGGTGGTAAGCTTCTCTTCTGAAACTTTACATATTACTTTCATCATTTTGTCTACGAATTACTGTGAAAGGTGATTTGGTAGCTCTTCTTGGGAGATCAATTTTTCTCTTAACCCTATAGAGGTAAATAAATGGAAAGTTAGTGAAGAAGAAAAATAAGAAGGTAGGTTCTACATAGATGAATTTGTATTATTTAATTCCACCACGTGAATAAGTTCTTATAAAACTTCTTATTACTTCTGACTAGTGATATAGAAATTTATCCAACCATCTATTCTGTAGAATATGTACCTTAATGTTCTATTGAGAACATGTTACAAAGTGTTAGGCCTCTATTCTGCTTGCGATCTGCCTCTGACAATAGATTTTGCACGTATCAGATAATTTGATGGTTGCATTGTTTTGTTTAGCTTAAACATCATCAATTCATTTGATGTGTCATTGTTGCTTGATGTTCTGCCATGGATATGGGCTTCTGCAGGTCAGATTCCATCCACTCCATCCTGAAGTTCTTGCAAGCGGAAGTTTAGACCACGAAGTTCGGTTGTGGGATGCAAACACTGCTGAGTGTATAGGATCTTGTGACTTCCGTAATTACATCTGAAATTCAGAGATTCAAAAATAATTCATATCTATTTTAAGGTTTAAAAGTTTTGTCAATATGGCTATTGATTTTCCTTCTCGCAGACCGCCCTATAGCTTCAATTGCCTTCCATGCGGAAGGGGAAATTTTGGCTGTGGCTTCAGGCCACAAGGTTAGACATTTTGACATATCATTGAAGAGTTTAGCTTTGCATGGTACACTGTTGCTGACAATTTAACACGTTGCAGCTCTTCATATGGCACTACAACAGAAGAGGGGAAGCTTCTTCTCCAACAATTGTACTTAAAACTCGCCGTTCACTCAGGGCTGTGCATTTCCATCCACACGCTGCGCCATTTCTTCTAACTGCTGAGGTATTCCTTTGCATGCTGTCAAGTTTCTTTCTCTTGGTACGTCAATTTACAGTGTTGCTCTTCACAGGTCAATGATCTCGACTCATCGGACCCCTCAATGATGCTTGCAACTTCCCCTGGCTACTTGCGCTACCCTCCCCCTACAATATATTTGGCAGATGCTCACATGGATCATCGATCTAATTTAGGAAATGAGCTGCCCATTATGTCTATACCATTTTTGATTTGGCCTCCGATTGGCCGAGTTGATGCGAGATTACCTTCCCAGCATACTGGTGCAGTCATGAGCTCCGGTGTTCCACAACAGAGGGTGGATTCCTCTTCCTCAGTGCGGCTTCTCACATATTCAACTCCATCTGGACAGTATGAACTATTATTGTCTCCGATTGAATCTAGTAGATCTCCTCTGCGAGAAGGGTCACAAACTACTTCTTTGCGCTCTAGTACAATACCAGCAAGTGGATCTGGTGATGGTGCTGCTTTTAACCGTGTCCCTCACGAGCAGAGCAATTCGCAACCTTTCATGAGCCAAGTTCAGTCCGAGGTTGCCACATCATTAGCTGCAGCTGCAGCTGCTGAGTTACCTTGTACTGTGAAGCTTAAAATATGGTCTCATGATATGGAAAATCCTTGCGCGCCTCTTGATACAGAAAAGTGTCGTTTCATTATTCCCCATGCTGTACTTTGTAGGTGAGTGAGTTTAAGCTAAACGGGCTGGAACATTTATTTCCTGAAGTAGTTTGTGTCTAGGTGATTTCTAAGTTCTAATTATGATATTATATATATTTGCAGTGAAATGGGTGCCCACTTTTCACCATGTGGCAGATTTTTAGCTGTATGCGTAGCATGTGTCCAGCCAAACACGGAAGCTGATTCAGGTTTTGAAGGCCAGGTTCTGCATGATGTTAGAGGGGCTTCAACATCTCCAACAAGACATCCCATTTCAGCCCATCAAGTTATGTATGAGCTAAGAGTATATTCTCTTGAGGAGGCAACGTAAGTCCAAAGGACCAAAGTTCCTGCATCTTGCCTATTATATTCCATGTTGATCTTATTTTGATAATATATATCTCTTTAAATTGATGATTCTTTGATTATGTAGATTCGGTTTAGTTCTAGCCTCACGGGCTATCAGAGCTGCTCATTGTTTGACTTCAATACAGGTTAGTTTTATTCTTAAGTAAATTGCATTTTAGCTATCTCGAAAAAAAAATGGAAAAAATTATGGGTTCTCATTTAATGAAATGTTCATTCATAAGAAAATGAAATGAGGTTTCCATATTATCAATATCATGTTGTTGACGATATTAAAAACGCAATGCATATTCAACAAGTCCCTGATCAGATCTGGCACAACAGTTATTCTATTTAGATGCCATTCCCTGTGTGAAGAATAGCTTTGCTGTAACTACAAATTTTCTTAAAGTTTTTAGTGCAATCTTATTTTGCAGATATTTTTTTATTTTCATTTCTTTAAACTTCTAGCGGCATGTTGTATCCATTTTAATAATCTTCTGGTCCCTCTACCCCTTTCTTCTTGCAGTCTTTTTGCAGTAGATGCTCTATTATAGTCATATATATTATCCTGTTCAAAAGATACAAGTGCTGGGAACTATCTGAAGTTGTAAAAAACGTTGTTTCGGAAGTATATCTCCTCCTCAGGAAGTCTTGTATTGATAACAAACTAGAAGTGATCTGATGGAAATCATAAACAAGAAAATACCAAATTCATTAGAGAGTCAGCGATGCTGATGCATGAAATGAAATGAGAGATACACGGTTATCTCTAGATAGAACATATGGATACGTTGTTTACCTTTTACAAGCACATGCCCAAATAGCACCCAATATTACATACACAATAAGCTATTTTCTCTGAGATGAGAATGCATGGTATGAACTTGGAAGCGGTAGCACTATTTACCGTCAAATCGGCATCTAATGGGATGTTCTGGCAACTATGCTTCGTAACTTTTAAAGCTTCAAATAAGGGAAAATTTACGTAAGCAGAAGTTGTCAACAAATAAATCTTAATTAATTGTTTAGCCCATCCCTTAGTGGATAGGTGCCCTTATCTCTGTTCTTTGATTTTGAACTCCTATGTGGCTGGCTTGCTGTTGTGTTTTTAATTCCTCTCTTTGAGACAAGAATTTCATCTGGATGTGGTCATCATTTTTTTAATGTCACGGAGCCATCTAATTAGACATTCTTTTAACTATTCCTTTTTAACTTCGAAAAGCTTGAACAAGGAAAAGCTTTCTTCTGCGGAAGTTGTTTGGAGATGGCAAGATAACATTCTTGCTGGAGTGTTCGTATATAGCCGATAATTTAGTTAATTCATACCCTATATATTTGTGTGACAATGTTTATTTCCATTGCATGCATGTTGCATGCACAATTGATGCTTAGTCTAATATTAAAAACCTAAATCTATTGAGTACGAAGATGAAGTTAGATTTAGTGATTTGAACTTTGAATTTGTATCATTGAGCATTTGTGCATCATTTTCAATTGCAGTTCTCTCCTACCTCAGAGCATTTGTTACTTGCCTATGGGCGGCGCCATATTTCACTTCTTAAAAGTGTGGTGATTGATGGGGATACAACGGTTCCAATATACACAATTCTGGAGGTGAGATATTGATTTTAGAACGGTCTAGTGAACCTTTCTTGCTTCTTGTTGTGTGATTCACTTGGATTCTAAATTTAATCACTGAGAAAAGATCCTTCATTTGGTTGCTTTTTCTATTATAGCAGATTGCTGAAATAGAAAAATCTTGTTAAACACAGATTATAACAATAATTAGGACAATAGGACTAGTCGAACGGCCTAACATCAGTAAGGTCCTTTTCCTTTTCTCCTTCTAACAAATGTGATATTTGACATGAGATGATGACACAACATTGCAGTGTTATGCGTTTTTTGAAATCTATATTTCCAAATATAGCATCCAAGAAAGTGCATGTAACATGTGCTAAAGGCCTAAAAGAACAACTTCGAAGAACGAAAAAGTCAGACCTAAATCAGGGTAACTACTTCTTTAATTGCCAACTGATTGCCTGATTAGCTGCAAAAATCATGTGATCTTTGAAAGGAAAAGATACGTGGATATCTAAAATTTGTGTTGGGACGCTGGACATTTAATGCTAATATGTTGGTGTATGTTAGAGTGCTTGTGCCATTTTATTGTCATTATAAAGTGATTTCTTAGGAGATTCTGGTTGCAAGAATATTTTCACTAGGCTTGTCACCTTCTTCAAGCAATGTTCTAAAAAGTGAGGCCTAAGCCAGCTAAGCGTGAGGAAAAGCCTTGCACATGGGGAAGGCGTGGAAAAGGTTGTCAACACTATTATTGACCCCAGCTAAAGTGGGCCTATGCACACACCTTTTTTTTTGGTCCAATTTTTTATTTTTTAAAGGTTTACTAATTAAATAAATGAATAGTTATTTATGGTCTTAGAATAGCTAAAGTTATTTTTAAAATATGGAAACATCATGCCTAGGTTCGTAATCACAAGGCTTGAGATTTGACTTGGCCGCCTTGCCACGCCTCGCGCCTTTTAGAACCTTGGCTTCAAGAGCTCTTTTGCATTTTTTGAAATCCTTTTGTGTATGGAGGTATTATTAAGTGCACATAGAACTAGCATACACCGCATAACTATTTTCTGGTGCTATTGTGACCTATGCCCATTGGTCACTACCCCTCTCAGAATCTCCTTTTGCTGCACAGATCTACAAAGTTTCTAATATGGAACTAGTAAGAGTTCTACCCAGTGCGGAGGACGAGGTCAATGTAGCTAGTTTCCATCCTTCAGTTGGTGGTGGCCTTGTATATGGAACAAAGGTAAACAACGAAACTATCTTTAACTTTTTTTAAAAAAATCAGTCAGATCTTGTACTTAAGTTTTTCCTCTGGTGATGGTTCTTCTCTTAATATTGTAGGAAGGAAAGCTGAGAATTCTTCAGCACGATAATTCTCACAGCTTGAAGCAAGATAGATCCTATTTTCCTGATGAGAACATGTATGAGGTACAGAAGCTTTACATATACTGTCCATTTACTCCCTGTCTTCTATACGAGCTATATATAAGGAACGTGGCTCTGCGGAAATTACTTTGATGATGAATTACCTGAAATCTTTTTAATTGCACAAGGTTCATGAATATCTCAACTGAGTAGGCCTTTGATCCATGCAATGGATCTGCACAGTTTGCCAATATATATATATTATGACCCTGTTTGGTGGGGATTAAAATTAGATTTTTAGTAGATTTTTATAAAAGTTGATGAAATGTGTGGTTGAAAAGTTGTGAGTCACATGAAATATGTGATTAAAATTAATTGTTGATTTTGACTTAAACTAAAATCTAAATTTTAAATATAAAGGCCTGCTAAATGCAGGCAGCTAATCCATAGCTCTTTCCTTGGTTGAAAGATGCTTTATATGCATTTTAACCGACTTCCTGTATACTCCTTGTCTTTCCTCTTGGTTCTCACCATATGCTTAGGGAGAGAGGGATGGAGGAAGGGAAGCTTCACTAGTTTACTTCATTGATGAGCCTAAATGGATCTCATCCTACAAAAAAGCAGTGAGATTGGGTCGAGAGATCACTTCCTAGTTCCTTGTATCTTGTGACGGAGGAAGGCCACTAATTCGTTCAATGAATGCAACTACGATTTTCCTTCTACGAAAAGCAATGCTAGATGTGGTTGCTGGAGATCTTTTATGTTATGCAATAAGCTTCTCTGGTTCTATTTTTGATTCCATCTGATGGAAAACTATGGGAAATTGATACTACTCCGTTGATCAATGTGTACAGCTGAGAGTAATTCAGAGGGAAAATGGTTCGAGAACTTCTTCTTGTTTAGTAATCTGCTTGAGAGTGGGTGCGTGACAATAAACATACTAAAGAGATTTTATCCTTGTTCACGTTGGAACCCTTATCTACCCTTGTTGATGTTATGCACCTGCATCAACGTCCTATAGTTGTTAGTTCATCTGGATACTGTGTTTGTCCCCTTACCACAGGCTTATTTTGGCATACACCGTACGGTATTTGAAGCTAGTTTCTATATATATTCATGATCTAGTCACTGATTGACTTTTTTTTATTATGATTGCCGTTATTTTATATTGTATGATTGCTTACAAGCAGTTGGTTCACTTATTGAAGGTTCCTTCATATGCATTAGAAGGCTGATTACTGTNTTTCATATTCAATGTGTATGCTATATTTTTAATTTAATAGTACAAGACGGTTTAAAATATGTTAAGAATGAAATTAACCGAATTAGGAATGCACTTGTAGATATCACGATTACACCTAGTAGAAAATAAGCATTTGAAGAATTTTGTGAAGAAGCTGAGATGATGCATACAAAAACCTTTATTACTGACGTATGCCATAGATGAAACTCAATTTACTTATTATTAGAATCATGTGAAGGTTTTGAACATTTAATTACTGAATTTTATAACATTAGGCATGTTAGACACGAAAACGATACTATCTTGAATGAATCCGATTGGAATATAGTTTTTAAAATTAAATATTTTTTGACAATTTTTTATGATTCTACAAATATATTGTCTGATATTTATTATCCCACTAGTTGTATGGTTCTTGAACTTTTTATATAATTGTTAAGGCCTTAAGAGATTTCAAAATGACCCCGATTTTCATACGGTTATATATTTCATGGAATTAAAATTTAAAAAATATTGGGAATAATTACTTATGTTATTTCCTTTAGTATGCGTCATGTAGGGCTGTCCGTGGGTTGGTTCGGTTCTGAAGAGACCCGAACCGACCCAAAACTTTCGGGTATTTAATAAATGGAACCGTCAGGTCCAAATATAATTATGGAACCGTTCGAGTTCTATTTGATTCGGTTGAGTTCGGTTCCGTACCATAATTAAATTTTTTAATATTTACAGCAACACTACATAAATGTAATTAATGACATTTCATTCGTAACTTTTACAAATTAACGTAACTAAATTCAAAAACATATAAATAACTAGCCATCCAATAAGATTAATTCAATGCATACAAATACCAAAATGTAGATATTAATATTACAGCAACACTACTTGGGTTTCGGTTCCTATTCGGTTCTTGGTCGGTTCTTCGGTTCTCGGTCTAGATATAAAAAATAAAAAAAATTATTTAGTTTCGGTTCTTCGGTCATTGGTCTAGACCCGAATTAATGACATTTCATTCGTAACTTTTACAAATTAACGTAACTAAATTCAAAAACCTATAAATAACTAGCCGTCCAATAAGATTAATTCAATGCATACAAATACCAAAATGTAGATATTAATATTATAGCAACACTACTTGGGTCAGTTTCGGTTCTTATTCGATTCTTCGGTTCTTGGTCTAGATATAAAAAATAAAAAAAATTATTTAGTTTCGGTTCTTCAGTCATTGGTCTAGACCCGAGATCCGACTCAAACCCATCGGTTCTCTATTCGGGTACCCGTTCGGGTATTTAACTTATGAAGAACCGTTCGGTTCGGAACTTTTGGACACCCCTACCTGGTGTACTGTCACATAGCTATTTTGCACGTCCACTCAGTGATTGAGTTAACTGAATACCCTAGGTCTTTGTTGATTTGTCTTGTACTACTTGGATGCAAAGACTTGTTTACTGCTCCGTATCCAAGTGTCATATGATATTTCTTTTATGAAAGAGAAGATTGAAAGCCTTGTTATTGTTGATTGTGGCCTTATATTTAATGAATACGGCTGATTTAGATGGAGCACTTGGTTCTTAGGTGGCATGGGCAATTGGCTTTGTGAATAGTGATGAGATTGATGGGTTAATTCGACCATAACTTGCTTGTTCCAATATTTATTCAAATACGTTTTGGATATTGAAGGCTTGTCCATGTAATTATGTGCAAGTACCCCTAAAAGTAATATCTATTTACAAATACAATTTAATATCTGAACCAAACACTCCAAATTCACGTGTCCTTGAGCTGAGCATGTGGAATTGTGGATGACGAGAATTAAGGATTCTTTTCGTGTAAAGGCAAAGATAATATTATCTTAGGAAAAGAGAGATTCATCTGGTACTCGTGTAGTTACATAACTTTCCATGATGATATAGACTAGAATCTTGAGGGGTTGCTCAATTGGTGAGGCATTGGATTTGTTCCCTAATGGTCACCAGTTCGAGTCCCTTAAAGGCCATTGAAGTGAGTACCCGACTGTAAACTTCAGGGTTTCGTGGGATTAGTCGAGGTGCGTGCAAGTTGGCCAGGACATACACGGTTATAAAAAAAAATAAAAATGATGATATAGACTTCGTTCTAAAAAGAGAGTGAAGATTCGTCCAGAGTATCAGTTTCTGACTTACCATGATAATGTAGACTCTTATTGCATTTCAATGGTTGCATTTGTCTAGTTGAAAATCTCTTCACTGTAAGGCATTTACCCACGAGTTTGATAATATGACGTCTTTGATATTTTTCCAGGATTTGGTGATGCAAATCATTCAAGAGAATGTTTCTATGAAGTTGAATTTACGAACCAAAAAGTGTCCAATGCTAGAGAAAAGGCTTCAGCATGTGGAAAGTTTAGCATCAAACTGTTTATATCTCTCTGTGGGTCTTGTACAGATAATCTACTCTTCTATTTTCAGGTGTATCAAATTTCTGTGTTTCTGACTAACCGTCGAGTTGATAATTGAGCGAAATGCTTCAAGCCCTGTTTATTTTGTTATGAATAGAGGAACTAATGTTTCTGGCCTACTCTTTTCATATGTGGCTGGCCTTGTTGTACATTTGCATTGCATACTCAGGAGGAAATGATAAGCGTGTTATATTTTGAGTTTTATGTTCAATGTTGGGTTTGTAACATGCTTTTGACCCTGCCTTCAAATTATTGACAGCAATTTCTCTTACACAAGTATTATTATTATTATTATTATTATTATTAATAAATAATAATAATAATAATAATAATATCATCATCATCATCATCATCTAACAGAAATGGATAAAGATACTTGGCCCCTGGTGATCTCACCCCCTGATGCCCAGGGATGGCCAGGGCCCACGTGGCCCCGACCAATTAGCACGGTTCAACAGAAATCAATCCTAAATGCCATAAGAAATATGTAACAGAAAAGTAAAACAACGCATGTATCTTAAATGCCAGATATACTAAAAGCTTCAAAAATTCTACTTTCATGAAGAGAATTCTTTTTTGCCACTCCATTTGGATTTGAATAATGTTATTCATAGTTAGCAATTACACTAGTCATTATATGTGATAGTTATTTAATGCATTAATTTCCTGTAATTTTGTTGTCTCAAATAACAAACTAATATCTCAAATAACAAGTTGTCAAAAAAGATGGCTACAGTAGTCGTCGACTACGACTGAATAGCATTATTCTCAACATGCCAAAACAACGTTCCCACTTTAACAAATCCTAGCCAACAACAAAAATTCATAAAAATTCTAGTCACACGAGGCCGGCCATTAAGCAAGCACCCTGTCAAAAATCACTAAAATATGGGGAAAACACTAACATAATCAAAAGATTTGATTGAAAAGATGACTATGTTTCATAACAATTCAGAATAGACAGTGCATATTAGCAGTTACATCGTGATTTCCAAGACAAAACAACAAATGGAACTCGATGAATCAATGGTATGTAGCTTGGTGAGATTGATAATGGGAATACACGAGTGGGAATCAGCTAGACAACAAAAACCCGTGTCAATGATATAATGCAAGAAATAAGGTACATCCTTGGTTGACCCTCCTAGGTGGAAGAAATTTAGGCAGTGGTGGGATGGATGTGTTTAAAATCAATGGTGTAGATTGCTACCGCAAGAAATAGTGTCAAATTTGTTGTCAACCATGATATACATGTCGCACGATCGATAATGTAAGTCTTACGACTTCAAAAAGTTGTTCATTTTCACTTAACAATGTCATTTAGATGCTACATCAATTCATCAAATCCTAAGCTAAGATTCAGCAGATAACACACCTGCGCTCATAAATGATTAAGTTACTCAAAAAGAACATAGAGGTGAACATACATACTGAGGATACTAATCCTTGATAAGACAGACAAACGAGTAGCTTTGATGCGCTATTCACAACAATAAGATTTTCTTTCACCTACAACAATGTCTGTTATCTGAATCGCTATATAGAATCCTATAGTTCAACGCATGCACAAGTATGTAGGTACTCGCCTAGTTATGCATTCGCCCTAGCTTAAATATTTTTTAGACAGCATCAAGGGTGTTACTGCCCAATTAAGTTGTTTATTTTGCTTTTAAGCAAAGCCAAATATGCCATAAGCAAATGTGAACCCCCAATTACCCTGCCAAGATTCGGTGAAACATAAGGAAATACCAACAAATGCTACACAACAGCAATTCAAAATGTAAACAAACAAAAAATTCCAAACAAATGCCAATTAGCAATAAAATGGTGAAAAGCAAGAACGAAATAGATTGATCAGTTAACTAAATTGCAGTTACAACTGCTTTTTTTTTCTTTCCAATACATGTGCTTAATCTCCTGACAACATAGTAAATCAACGGCTAAAATCATGGAATGGACAAGTGATGATAGCGAAATACACAGTATTAGTTGATGTCAGAGTCATCGAAGTCATCCTGGAAGGAGTTGAAGAAGTCGGAATCGGCGAGGCGGTGTTGCTCTATCGAGATCAGACCCTCGCCGAAGATCTCTAAGGCTTCAGCATCGTCCACGTCCATCGCCACCGTGGTGCCGCCTTGCTCCTCCATCTCCACAAAATCGTCCATTGGCTGCGGCTTCATCGTTGGTTCCAAGAGAGATCTTAAGAGAGAGAGGCAATTTTCCTCAGAGATTCGAATGGTGCATTCGGTTAGTATGAACCGGAGATATATATCTGGGAAAAGTTCATAAATAAATTGTATATTTGTACCAATTCAAAAATCAGGTTTATAATTCGAAAATTAAAAAATCAGGTTTTTTTATGAAATAATAAATTATTAAATCAATTTATTATTAAATATTTAATTCTAATATAATATAATTAACTCATCCCACATGCACCATTCATACCGCTCCGGAAACTATTCCGACGACAATACATCACCATGAACACAACATCACCACTATCTCGCGAGCGTCATCAACACAACCACCATCACAGCCGCCGTCAAGACTGC